ATCGCTATCAACGCTTGAAAATCCTAATCTCAGTACAATATATGTACACAGAGGGAAAAAGAAATATACGCCACATTGATACCAAACTATTTATAATATTTCAATACCATCCGTTGTCAAAGTATATACATACGTACGACAACACTATGTAATGTTGACAACATTGCAACAATTCGTTATCGAAATCTAAATTTTATACACATCCATTGTCTTAATGTTAACAAACGTGTAAGTTCACTATTGACAAACAATCTGTTGCGTATAGTGAGCTTACCACATATATTTTGACAACGGATGTTATTGAAAAATTATAAACTCTTTGGTGTCAATTTGGTACCAGGCGTGTATATTTCTTTTTCCCTCTGTGCATTTACAAAACTTTCAATCGCCGGTAGGAAACTAAAGGCCGCTTTCCAGCAAAAAATGTTTGCTACTTTCGTGCGCATGGAAAATTATCTTTTGTAATTAGAATCATGTTTCATATGATCTAGAATCAATTGCGCTCTGCAGCGATCGAAGCAAATAGTTGTTGTACGGGACCAGATTTGGACTATAAGTCAGCAAAGGCAAAAATTCTCAATCATCAAATCATAAAGAGTTTTCAACTGTATTATAGAGGTAATGAGAATTTTTGCACAACGACATTCAATAATTATTTCAATAGCTTTGCGCCAATAATTCAACATGATTGAAGCATAAAAGTGGGCAGTTGTGTAAGCCATTTGTAGAGAATCCCCCATTATTAATTTAGTTGTTTTAAAAATTAGGATATTACGTCATTTCTTTATAATTGTTATAGCTTTCGGCAAATTTCAACTGATTAATATGTTAAATTTTAATATTATTGCCATTAATCCATTCTGTTCTTAGGAATGTCTGATATAATAAACCAGTTTATTAAAAGTTACTAAAATAATTTGTTTTCTTTTTTTTATTTATATGCTTATGACGTATTTGTTTGATACCTTAATCACGACTCTTTTTATCAGACACACTTCAAGTTTATGAAGTTAAAGATTTAACTATTTTCTATATACATACATATGTATATCTATATACATACATATGTACATATAAAAGCTTTTTTATGAAACGAAATCTCATTATAAATACAAATCAAAATGTAATCTTTTAGCCACCCTTCCTTGATCTTGCAAATATAACAGCTGAACGATTAAGAAGATGCGATAACTTATCTGACTTAACTTTATAGGTTAAAAAACTATGCTTAAGATACAAAATAATATGAAATGAAAAACAAAAATCTATGGAAAAATAGTTTAATTTCATTACACATACATATGTACATACATATATATGGAGAAGTCACTTTTTTTATAAGATTAGAAATCCAGACGTTATAAGACACACTCTATTTCATACCAGACGGCATTACTTTAAATTGTTTCTATTTATGTGTAATAGACCAGACGGCATTACTTTTGCACTATCTGTGTAATTGAAGTTGTTGTCCATCAAATACTATTTGAATAATATTCTTGTGATAAGAAAACGCACTGTTTATAAGTACACAGTACCTCATAATAACTTAACCTTGAACCGATACTTAAACATTAATATATTTGAAAAAAAAAAGAAAAAATTTTAAATCAACAAATAATCTAGCAACATGTCATTTTAAAAATTAAAATTCTTTGGAAACGTGAGATGTTTTCTTAAAAGCCAGAAATAATAAGTTGATAATTTTATAGAAAAAAAAAACTGTCATGTTTATAATTTAATAGATTTTTAAATTAAAACATATTATATAATTTAAATATGCTTTAGTTTTCATTTCCAACTAATAGCTTCAATTTATATTATTTATACATTATTTATTTAATGCTTGACTACAACTGTCATTAAAATAGTCAGTATCAGGTAGAATGATACTTTTATGTACTTTACTGGTACTTATTGTACTTTTTTTAAATATAAATATATTAATACATATTTTATAATATTATCATATTAACGTGATTTTATTAAAATTATTGTTTGTATTATCATTAGCATGTGTCAAAACAATTAAAAAATTTTATAATAATTTCATTTTTATTCAGTGCTTTATACAATTTTGAAATGAGAACAAATATTTTTTAGTTTGTAGTATCTTGATGAATCGTTAATTTTATTTAATTGACAGTTCAGTTTCAGTTTTTTTTTGATAATTTATATATTATAATTTATATATTTTTTTAATTAATAACAATTAATATAATCAATAAATTTATGGCGTAAATAACTATGAGGACGAGGGTGGTTGAGGTTGTTATACGCTTTTCAACAACCCAAAAATAATCCCATACGCACCAATAAACTAGGACTAAACTAGAACCGAACTAGAACTAGAACTGAACTAGAACTGAACTAGAACTAGAACTGAACTAGAACTAGAACTAGAACTGAACTAGAACTGAACTAGAACTGAACTAGAACTGAACTAGAACTGAACTAGAACTGAACTAGAACTGAACTAGAACTGAACTAGAACTGATCTAGAACTGAACTAGAACTGAACTAGAACTGAACTAGAACTGAACTAGAACTGAACTAGAACTGAACTAGAACTGAACTAGAACTGAACTAGAACTGAACTAGAACTGAACTAGAACTGAACTAGAACTGAACTAGAACTGAACTAGAACTGAACTAGAACTGAACTAGAACTGAACCAGAACTAGAACTGAACTAGAACTGAACCAGAACTAGAACTGAACCAGAACTAGAACTGAACCAGAACTAGAACTGAACTAGAACTGAACTAGAACTGAACTAGAACTGAACTAGAACTGACTAGAACTGAACTAGAACTGAACTAGAACTGAACTAGAACTGAACTAGAACTGAACTAGAACTGAACTAGAACTGAACTAGAACTGAACTAGAACTGAACTAGAACTGAACTAGAACTGAACTAGAACTGAACTAGAACTGAACTAGAACTGAACTAGAACTGAACTAGAACTGAACTAGAACTGAACTAGAACTGAACTAGAACTGAACTAGAACTGAACTAGAACTGAACTAGAACTGAACTAGAACTGAACTAGAACTACTAGAACTGAACTAGAACTGAACTAGAACTGAACTAGAACTGAACTAGAACTGAACTAGAACTGAACTAGAACTGAACTAGAACTGAACTAGAACTGAACTAGAACTGAACTAGAACTGAACTAGAACTGAACTAGAACTGAACTAGAACTGAACTAGAACTGAACTAGAACTGAACTAGAACTGAACTAGAACTGAACTAGAACTGAACTAGAACTGAACTAGAAGAACTAGAACTGAACTAGAACTGAACTAGAACTGAACTAGAACTGAACTAGAACTGAACTAGAACTGAACTAGAACTGAACTAGAACTGAACTGAACTAGAACTGAACTAGAACTGAACTAGAACTGAACTAGAACTGAACTAGAACTGAACTAGAACTGAACTAGAACTGAACTAGAACTGAACTAGAACTGAACTAGAACTGAACTAGAACTGAACTAGAACTGAACTAGAACTGAACTAGAACTGAACTAGAACTGAACTAGAACTGAACTAGAACTGAACTAGAACTGAACTAGAACTGAACTAGAACTGAACTAGAACTGAACTAGAACTGAACTAGAACTGAACTAGAACTGAACTAGAACTGAACTAGAACTGAACTAGAACTGAACTAGAACTGAACTAGAACTGAACTAGAACTGAACTAGAACTGAACTAGAACTAGAACTGAACTAGAACTGAACTAGAACTGAACTAGAACTGAACTAGAACTGAACTAGAACTGAACTGACTGACTGAACTAGAACTGAACTAGAACTGAACTAGAACGAACTAGAACTGAACTCGAACTGAACTAGAACTGAACTAGAACTGAACTAGAACTGAACTAGAAACTGAACTAGAACTGAACTAGAACTGAACTAGAACTGAACTAGAACTGAACTAGAACTGAACTAGAACCTGAACTAGAACTGAACTAACTAGAACTGAACTAGAACTGAACTAGAACCTGAACTAGAACTGAACTAGAACTGAACTAGAAACTGAACTAGAACTGAACTAGAACTGAACTAGAACTGAACTAGAACTGAACTAGAACTGAACTAGAACTGAACTAGAACTGAACTAGAACTGAACTAGAACTGAACTAGAACTGAACTAGAACGGAACTAGAACTAACCGTCTACTGAAACTAGAACTGAACTATAACTGAACTAGAACTGAACTAGAACTGAACTAGAACTGAACTAGAACTGAACTAGAACTGAACTAGAACTGAACTAGAAATGAACTAGAACTGAACTAGAACTGAACTAGAACTGAACTAGAACTGAACTAGAAACTGAACTAGAACTGAACTAGAACTGAACTAGAACTGAACTAGAACTGAACTAGAACTGAACTAGAACTGAACTAGAAACTGAACTAGAACTGAACTAGAACTGAACTAGAACTGAACTAGAACTGAACTAGAACTGAACTAGAACTGAACTAGAACTGAACTATGAACCGAACTAGAACCGAACTAGAACCTGAACTAGAACTGAACTAGAACTGAACTAGACTGAACTAGAACTGAACTAGAACTGAACTAGAACTGAACTAGAACTGAACTAGAACTGAACTAGAACTGAACTAGAACTGAACTAGAACTGAACTAGAACTGAACTAGAAACTGAACTAGAACATGAACTAGAACTGAACTAGAACTGAACTAGAACTGAACTAGAACTGAACTAGAACTGAACTAGAACTGAACTAGAACTGAACTAGAACTGAACTAGAACTGAACTAGAACTGAACTAGAACTGAACTAGAACTGAACTAGAACTGAACTAAAAATCCAAATTCAAATTATCGAAGTTCAAAAATTTTAAAAAAATTTATATTCACGTTACTTTTCCTTTACAATTTGCAAATAATTTTCCCATATATCTTAATCTGTATCACTTTATCTAATTAAAATTGTTTATTCCTTATCATCTACTTTTAGAATGGTCGACTTTAAAGTCCAACAACGACGTTATCGCAGTAAAGAGAAAACCATTGTATCGACAATTTATGGACCCGTTAAGGGTGTTAAACGTAAATCTATATACGGTGATGTTTTCTTCTCATTTGAGAAAATTCCCTTTGCTAAACCACCCATTGGTGAATTAAGATACAAAGCACCACAACCCCCAGAGCCATGGACAGAAGTAAGAAGTTGTACTTCGGCTGGACCGAAACCATTGCAAAAGCATTTCGTTTTTCAAATGACCGATGGCTCAGAGGACTGTTTGTATTTGAATGTTTATACAAAAAATGTAAGTTAGAAGCTGTTTTATTTTTGCTCGATTATATCCAATTGAAATATTGCATTTCCTTATTTAGTTGGATCCCATTAAACCTTTACCTGTTATGGTCTGGATTTATGGAGGCGGTTTTCAGTTTGGTGAAGCTTCACGTGACCTTTATAGCCCCGACTATTTATTAAGAGAAGATGTAGTGGTCATTTCTATTACCTATAGAGTGGGTCCCTTCGGTTTCTTGTGTTTACAAGATCCCAGTTTTGATGTACCCGGCAATGCTGGTCTTAAGGATCAAGTTATGGCTTTACGTTGGATAAAAGCGAACTGTGCTAGATTTGGTGGTGATCCTAATAATATTACATTATTCGGAGACAGTGCTGGTGGCGCTTCTGTCCACTATATGATGCTGACCGAACAATGTAGAGATCTTTTCCACAAGGCCATCTGTATGTCGGGATGTGCTTTATCACCCTGGGCTGTAACTCCACAACGCAATTGGCCTTATCGTTTGGCTGTAGCTGCCGGTTATACAGGGGATAATAATGAAAAGGAAATATTTGAATTTCTTAAGAGTGCCAAAGGAGCTGATATAATTAAGGCCAATGAGGATTTATGTACAGATGCTGAGAAGAGGGAACGTATTGGATTTTCATTTGGCCCTGTTATAGAACCCTATGTAACCGAACATTGTGTAGTACCAACTAAGCCCATAGAAATGATGCGTACAGCTTGGAGTAATAATATACCCATGATTGTGGGTGGAGTTTCGAATGAGGGTTTATTATTATATACTGGTAAGTTGAGATAGACGTTTCAGAGTTAAAACGTTCGATCTTTTATTATGGATTTTTTTATTTTAGAAACTAAAAATAATCCCAAATTATTAAATGAATTGGGTGACTGTCGCTATGTGGTGCCCTTGGAATTGAATATGGATCGTAATAGTGAATTGTGTAAGGAATATGGTAATCAATTGAAGACCACATACTATGGTGATAAAGAACCCAGTCTAGAGACTTTACATGAATATTTGTTGGTAAGTAGAAAGTAAATAAAAAGCTTGAAAAAGCACTTATTGTGGATCTTTCTTTAAGGTATAAAAAGCTTAAGTGTTTAACGTTTAACTTTTCTTTTAAAAGTTTAAAGCTAAAATGTTTACGTTTTAACTTTCGTTTTCTTTGGAAAGCTTAAAAAATAAAAGCTTTTTTTCAAAAGCTAAGGAAATAAAATATTTAATTGTTAAAGCTTAAAAGGAATGTAGAGCAGAAAGTTTGTTAAATAGAACTGTTTAAACAGCTTTGATTTCAAGCTTCTGGAGCTTTTCTTTCAAATTTACAAACTTACTTAACAAAATCTTCATTTCTTTTATTTCCAGATGGTCTCCCATGAATATTTCTGGTTTCCCATCTATCGTACAGTATTGTCCCGCATGGAGCATGCCTCCGCAGCACCCACCTACTTATACCGTTTCGATTTCGACTCAAAGCATTTCAATCACTTGCGCATTTTAAGTTGTGGCAAAAAAGTACGTGGCACCTGTCACGGAGATGACCTTTCCTATTTATTCTACAATTCAGTGGCTCGTAAACTAAAGAAACATACCAAAGAATACAAATGCATTGAACGTCTAGTGGGCATGTGGACACATTTTGCGACCTGCGGTCAACCCAATTATGATCCGGAACATAGTGATTTGTGGCAACCGGTCTCGGCTGCTGCTTTGGAGAAAAGACAAATAAAGTGCCTTAATATTACGGATGAATTGAAAGTTATTGATGTGCCCGAAATGAAAAAGCTATTGGTATGGGAAAGCTTTTTTACACGCAACGAATTGCTATGATTTAGTTAAAATTTCAATACTATAAGATAAATGATTAATTGTTAAAACATACATATATATTTTTGTACTTTCTTTTTTAAGAAAAAAGAAAGCTACTTTTTTGGTACACAAAAGCGCAGCCTATAAGAAAATGGTAGCTTTTAAACTTAAGCTAAATAACGAAACTTAAGTATAATATCTTGCCATAGTGATTGTTTGTCTTGGAAAAAAAGTTTTGATTACAAAAAGCTTTAATGAGTATTTTACTTGATGGGCCTAGAATTTTGCATATGTATAGTTTGGAAAAAAGTTTTGTTATGTATAGTTTGCATTGCAGAAAGCTATGAGAAGTGTTTAGAAAAGCTTATTTTAAGTTATTTAGGAATTTTAATATCTAATGTATAAATTCAACTAAGACTTTGGAAATTTTTGTAAACATTTTTATTGAAAACTAAGAGCTTTTTAATAATTGAAACCAAATAGACTTCTAGGAAGCTTTTTTTATATATTTTTAAGAAAAATAGTAATTTTAAATCAAATTTATAATAACATAAAAAAATTTTAATTAGCACAAAAAGCTCAGTTAAAAATTTTAAAACACTGGAAAGTTTTTATAATTTAATATGAAATAAATATTTGCATTAATTTAAATTAAGTTTATAAACTTTACCAAAAAGCTTTAGAACTTAAAACAATTCTTTAGGCAGCTTTTTGTTAGCTTAAAAATATATAAAGCTTTTTTTAAAATAGACAAACAAATTTTAATTATACTTAAGAACGATACTAGTTGGTTTGGCCAAGTTTTGTTTGGAATGTGTGAAGACGAATTATTGTGATTTAGTAATGAGTTATAAAGGACAGATATAGAAAGCTTTTTAGATATTAGAGTATTTCAATAAAACTTAAATACTAAGCTTAATAAAATTTAAATGAAATTCAAATTAAACATTGAAGACGCAACTTGAGTACCTTGGAAAATTAAAAATTTTTAAATAAAAACTTAATGGTTTTTATTAAAACAACTATGAAAAAAGCCCATAATAAAAACAAAACTACTAGTAAACATAAGATTTGCTGCTTTTTTTTAACATACATCTTCCTAAACTTAAACTACTACTCCATTTCTCTACTAAACCTATATCTCCTTCCTACTGCTAGGTAAAACAAAATAAACTTTATTAATTTAGGTTAAAAAATACAGCCCAAGACTTTATCAAAAACTACATATAGTTATATTTGTTTGAGTAAATTATTATGTTTAAGCGTAAACATCTAAAAAAAATTTATTCTATTAACATACTTATACATATTTGTTAAACTATTTCCATTGTTAATTTATTTATTAAGTAGCCTTAACAAAAATTGAGTTAAACTAAACAAATTACAAAAAAGTAAATAAAAAGCTAAAAACAAAACCCTCCGTAAATTTAAAGTATTAAATAAAAAATTATAGACAAGCAAACTATTGAAACCATGAACTCCGTTTAAATCAACTATTTTGCATAAATATTGTTAAATTTTCAATTGTCACAAAACTGCAGCACACATTAGTAAAACTTAAAACTGCACTAGAAAAAAAGTAACAATTAAATTATAGATGTATTTTTATAAAAAAAAACAAAAAGTTCAAATAATTGAATTAGTTATAAAATAAATATTAATAACTGTTCTAAATCTTATCAGGTATAACAAAATAAGATGAATTATTGTCAAACTGAAATAACAAACGAAAAATAAAATAAATTTTCATTAATAAAATATAATTCAAAATAATATTTTGAAATAAAATTAATCTAAATGAATTGTAATGAGTTTTATTAAAATATACATTATTATTCAAACTATTTGAATCTATATTGAAAAAGTGAGTAGTATTATACGACTATGCCTAAACTCAATAAAGTGTATTCAGAAGGAAGGTTAAACTGAAGACTAGACTATAGACTAGACTATAGACTAGACTATAGACTAGGCTATAGACTAGACTATAGACTAGACTATAGACTAGGCTATAGACTAGACTATAGACTAGACTATAGACTAGACTATAGACTAGACTATAGACTAGACTATAGACTAGACTATAGACTAGACTATAGACTAGACTATAGACTAGACTAATTGAATTAGTTATAAAATAAATATTAATAACTGTTCTAAATCTTATCAGGTATAACAAAATAAGATGAATTATTGTCAAACTGAAATAACAAACGAAAAATAAAATAAATTTTCATTAATAAAATATAATTCAAAATAATATTTTGAAATAAAATTAATCTAAATGAATTGTAATGAGTTTTATTAAAATATACATTATTATTCAAACTATTTGAATCTATATTGAAAAAGTGAGTAGTATTATACGACTATGCCTAAACTCAATAAAGTGTATTCAGAAGGCAGGCTTAAACTGAAGACTAGACTATAGACTAGACTATAGACTAGACTATAGACTAGACTATAGACTAGACTATAGACTAGGCTATAGACTAGACTATAGACTAGACTATAGACTAGACTATAGACTAGACTATAGACTAGACTATAGACTAGACTATAGACTAGACTATAGACTAGACTATAGACTAGACTATAGACTAGACTATAGACTAGACTATAGACTAGACTAGACTATACTATAGACTAGACTATAGACTAGACTATAGACTAGACTATAGACTAGACTATAGACTAGACTATAGACTAGACTATAGACTTGACTATAGACTAGACTATAGACTTGACTATAGACTAGACTATAGACTAGACTATAGACTAGACTATAGACTAGACTATAGACTAGACTATAGACTAGACTATAGACTAGACTATAGACTAGACAATAGACTAGACTATAGACTAGACTATAGACTAGACTATAGACTAGACTATAGACTAGACTATAGACTAGACCATAGACTAGACTATAGACTAGACTATAGACTAGACTATAGACTAGACTATAGACTAGACTATAGACTAGACTATAGACTAGACTATAGACTAGACTATAGACTAGACTATAGACTAGACTATAGACTAGACTATAGACTTGACTATAGACTAGACTAGACTATAGACTAGACTATAGACTAGACTATAGACTATAGACTAGACTAGACTAGACGACTATAGACTAGACTAGACTAGACTATAGACTAGACTATAGACTAGACTATAGACTAGACTATAGACTAGACTATAGACTAGACTATAGACTAGACTAGAAGACTATAGACTAGACTATAGACTAGACTATAGACTAGACTATAGACTAGACTATAGACTAGACTATAGACTAGACTATAGACTAGACTATAGACTAGACTATAGACTAGACTATAGACTAGACTATAGACTAGACTATAGACTAGACTATAGACTAGACTATAGACTAGACTATAGACTAGACTATAGACTAGACTATAGACTAGACTATAGACTAGACTATAGACTAGACTATAGACTAGACTATAGACTAGACTATAGACTAGACTATAGACTAGACTATAGACTAGACTATAGACTAGACTATAGACTAGACTATAGACTAGACTAGACTAGACTATAGACTAGACTATAGACTAGACTATAGACTAGACTATAGACTAGACTATAGACTAGACTATAGACTAGACTATAGACTAGACTATAGACTAGACTATAGACTAGACTATAGGCTAGACTATAGACTAGACATACTATAGACTAGATACTTATTTGTGTCAAATTTCGGTATACTCGTATTTTTACGCCAATAATAAGCGATAAAGTCATTTTCTGAAGGGAGACCTTATATGGGCGCGTAGGGTTAATTATGGCGAACAACATAAAATTTGGTAGAGAGATTTTGGCTCGTATAAAACTTACTTCTGTGAAATTTCATCGCTATACTCTTCTTTTTAAGCCAGTAATGAGCCTTAAAGTCATTTTATGGAGGGGACCTTATATAGGGAGTAGGGTCAATTATGGACCGATCCACATAAAATTTGTTGGGGAGATTTTCACTCGTATGAAACTTACTTGTGTCAAATTTCATCGTTATTTTTACGCCAATAATGAGCGTTAAAGTCATTTTCTGAAGGGGACCTTATATGGTGGGCAGGGTCAATTATGGACCGATCCACATATATTTCGGTGGAGAGATATTGGCTTGCATGAAACCTATGTGTGTCAAATTTCATCGCTATATTCGTATGTTTAAGCCAGTAATCAGAATTATAGTAATTTTCAAAAGGGGATCTTATATGGGGGGTAGGGACAATTGTGGTCCTATGTCCGACATAATTCAGAATTTTATTTCGGAGGTCAAAAAACTGACTTATTTTGCTTCATAAACAACGAATTTGTGAATGTTTGAAGCTTTTTACACAATTTTCCGGGGGGTACATTTGCATGGGGGCTATGTGAAATCGTTACCGATTTTGTCTATTTTCAATACCAAACATTTCTGATCAATAAAAAATATTTTGGGAAAATTTCATCTCAATATCTCTTTTTTTGTGGACGCTATCGTGCCAACAACAGACAGACGGACGGACATAGCTATATCGTCTTAGAATCTTACGAGATCCCAGAGTATATATACTTTATGGGGTCTGTGACAATATTTCGATGTGTTACACACGGAATGACAAAATCAATATACCCTCCATCCATTTGATGGTGGGTATAAAAATAATCCTCATTTTAAGATACTCTCTGGTGTAGGGCATCACATGGTCGACCGTGTCCGACTAAACATTCTTACTTGTTTGATAGTGGGTATGTTTAGAAAACTATTTAGTAAAAATTTTTAATCAATCATTACGATAACAGATACATTATTTATTTCTATATTTCAAGGTAATTTTATAATGATTTTGCAAAAGTAATAATTCCAAAAAATATTTAGTAAACAAACAAAGGTCTAACCGACTATAATATACTTTACAACACTTTTAGCTTAAATTTAATTTCTGCTATTCAATTAGTATATATCTGAAAGATTCTACTATTTTATAATAAAGTTCTGGTACTTATGTATATATCATGATCGAAACAAAACACATTGCAATTGCCTATAATTTTAAACATTTATGTCTGGTGTAGGGTATAATTAGCTATAAAACAATTAAATAAATAGTAAAATATCTTACTAACCGTATAAATACATCATTCATATTTGTGTTTTCCACATAATTAGGAAAAATAGATATATAGTTATCATGAATGAATTTGGAGATAACAAATTCACACACGCTTATTTTTAATAAATATTGTTTTCAATCAAATTCAAGTGATAAAATATTTTTTTCTAAAGTTTTATTAAAAAATATTTCAATGTGCTTATAATTCATAAACAACACTATTTTTTTATGATCAAATTTAATAATTTAAAATAATAAATATCACATTTGTTCATTTTCCAGAAATAAAACTAGATTTTTTTTTTTAAATCAATATTATTAGTGTGATAATAGCTAAAATCTATAAATTAATAGTAGCATTTGTAAGCGTTATAAAAACTGGTATTTCTTTATATAACTTTTAATCTGAAATAACTTCGATAACCAATTATTACATATTAAACCAGAAAAGTAAATAAATAACATACATAGTAGTTAATGACATCAGTCATATTCATGTTCAAGGTAACATACAATGTAATTTTAATTTATGTGTAGAAAATTCTAGTTTTATTAATTAGTAAATTTTTGATTATGTTATCGTAAATGTAAACAATATGTTGAAAGCTCTAGATAGGTTCTAGTATTTTATTTGAAGAACACCTATACCTCGATTTGCTTGATATTGTTTTTAAAAGATTTTTTCTCATGTTAAACGAGAGATGGAAATTATTTTGTTTAAGACGATTGTTTTTATTACTTGGAGACTATCTGTTGGGATGTACACTTAGAAATGAAGATATAATCTTCTTAGCTTTGTGACAAATGAAGTAATTACATATAAATTTTATGTTAAAAACCACTTTGGACGAGTTTGGTGCTATGCCCACCTTAAAGTACACAAATCAATTTCTGAGTCGTTTACTCTATGTTCATCTGTCCGTCCGTCCGCCTGTCTGTCTGTCCGTCCGCCTGTCTGTCTGTCCGTCTGCGTGTCCATGTTAGCATTATGTTTTACATAAGCAAGTTTTCTAAGTACCGAAATCTTTCTACTAATTTTTACGAAGATCCATATTGACCCTATATAATTGACCCTATAATTGACCCCCATAAAAAAATGACTTATAACATCTTTACTTGAAATTCGACATACATATGTAAACTACATCTGTAGGAACAAAAATCTGTCTAAAAAATTTTATGAAGATCGCTCCCATATATTAATATTGGTATAAAAACTTATTTTTTGTGTCAAAATGTAATTTTTGTGTAAAAATAAAATTTTTGTCTAAAAAAATAAATTTGAATGTAAAAATATAATTCTGTTTAAAAATGCAATTTTTGTGTAAATATTTAATTTTTGTGTAAAAATTTAATTTTTGTGTAAATATTTAATTTTTGTATAAAAAAATTAATTTGTATGTAAAAATATAATTCTGTTTTAAAATGCAACTTTTGTGTAAATATTTAAGTTTGTGTAAAAATGTAAATATTTAATTTTTGTATAAAAATGTATTTTTTTGTGTAAAAAATTAATTTTTGTGTAAAAATTTAATTTTTGTGTAAATATTTAATTTTTGTGTAAAAATGTATTTTTTGTGTAAAAATGTAATTTTTGTGTAAATATTTAATTTTTGTGTAAAAATGTGTAACATTTTCGATTATTTCGAATTATAATATTTTTTAAATAAAGACACTGTAGAAGCGGCACTTAATGTTAAAGTTAAACAAAATTTTTAAAATAACATACATCTGTTAACAAAAGCTATTAAAAGAGCTTTTAGTTTAAATTCGATCGTTGTATGCAAAAGCTTATAATCGATACGTAAAATGTGT